GGGGATCTGTGGGGCTGGGATGGATCTGTGGGGCTGGGATGGATCAGTGAGGCAGGAATGGGGATCTATGGACCTGGGATGGGATCTGTGGGGCTGGAATGTAGCTATGGGGCTGGGATGGGATCAATGGGGCTGAGATGGGACCAACAGGGCTGGGATTGGAACTATGGGGCTGGGCTCTGTGGGGTTGAGAAGGGATCTTTGGGGCTGGGATGAGATCCATGGGTCTGGGATGAGAACTATGGGGCTGGAATGGAGCTGTGGGACTGGAATGGGGATCCGTGGGGCTGAGATGGGGTCTGTGGGGCTGCAGTGGGGATCTATAGGGTTAAGGATGGGGATCTGTGGGGCTGGGATGGGATCTGTGGGGTTGGAATGGGGATCTGTGGGGCTGGGATGGGAATCCATAGGGCTGAGATAGGATCTATGGGGTTGAAATAGGAACTCTGGGATTGGGATGGGGATCAATGGGATTAGGATGGGGATCTGTGGGGTTGGAGAGTTCCATGGGGCTCAGATGGGATCTGTGGGGCTGGAACGTAGCTGTGGGGCTGGAATGGGAACTGGGGCTGGGATGGGATCTGTGGGGCTGGTATTGTATCTATGGGATTGAGATGGGATCTTTGGGGCTGGAATGGGGATCCGTGGCTGGAATGGGATCTATGGGGTTGAAATGGGAACTGTGGGACTGGAATGGGGATCAATGGGGTTAGGATGGGGATCTGTGGGGCTGAGTAGTCCACAGGGCTCAAATGGGATCTGTGGGGCTGGAATGGGAACTGTAGGGCTAGAATGTTCCATGGCCTAGGATGGGGATCCACAGAGCTAGGATGGGATCTGTGGGGCTGGGATGGGATCTGTGGGGCTGGGATGAGGACTGGGGGGCTGGAATGGATCTGTGGGGCTGCAGTGGGGATCCACGGGGTTAGGATGGGGATCTGTGGGGCTGAAATGGGGATCCATGGGGTTAGGAATGGGAACTGTGGGACTGGAATGGGGATCCATTGGAATGTAGCTTGGGATGGGATCTGTGGGGCTCGGTTGTGGATTCACGGGGCTCCCAGGGGCTGAGATGGGGATCCATTAGGCTGTGGGATATCTTGTGATCCATGGGTTTGGGATGTGGATCCATGAGGATCCAAGGGGCTGGGATGAGGCTCTGTGGGTTTCCATCAGACTCTGGGGCTCCATAGGGCTGGAATGGAGCTCTGTGGGGCTGGGACACAATTCCATGGCTCTGTGTGTCCAATCCCCCCCAGGTCTCCACACATCACTCCGGGTTTATGGCTGTGACCTCCTGTCCGACGGGAGTGTCCGTGGATTTCGCCAGGATGGCTACGACGGGTGGGATTTCCTCTCCTTCGATCCGGGATCCAAGAGCTTCGTGGCGGCCGACAGCGCTGCCCAGGTCACCACGAGGCGCTGGAATGCTGACAAGAACATTATAGATTATACAACAGATTACCTGGAGCAGACCTGCAGGGAAGAGCTCCAGGAATTCGTCGGATATGGGCAGGAGGAGCTGAAGCGCAAAGGTGGGGGCAGAATCCCTGTGGGAATTGGGGATTTGGGAACGGAGGACTTGGGAACATAATTCCTGTGGAAATTCCATGGGCAGATCTCACCCCAGTCCCATTCCCATGGAATTCCATGGGCAGATCTCACCCCAATCCCATTCCCATGGAATTCCATGGGCAGATCTCACCCCAATCCCATTCCCATGGAATTCCATGGGCAGATCTCGCCCCAATCCCATTCCCATGGATTCCGTGGGCAGATCTCACCCCAGTCCCATTCCCATGGAATTCCATGGGCAGATCTCACCCCAATCCCATTCCCATGGAATTCCATGGATGTCTCTCACCATTATCCCATTCCAGAGCCCCCTGATGTCCATGTGTCYGGAAAAGAGGAATACGGGATCCTGACCTTGTCCTGCCACGCGTACGGATTCTACCCCAGGACCATCGCAGTCAGCTGGATGAAGGGGGATGAAATCCGGGATCAGGAGACGCAGTGGGGCGGGATCGTTCCCAACAGCGACGGCACCTTNGGGGCTGGGATGGGATCTGTGGGGCTGCAATGGGGACCCATGGGGTTAGGACAGGGATCTTTAGGGCTGGGGAGTTCCATGGGGCTCAGATGGGATCTGTGGGGCTGGAAGGGGAACTGTGGGGCTGGGATGAGGACTGTGGTGCTGGAATGGATCTGTGGGGCTGCAGTGGGGAGCCATGGGGTTAGGATGGGGATCTGTGGGACTGGAATGGGGATCCACAGGGTTGGGATGGGGTTCTGTGGGGCAGGAATGGGATCTGTGGGACTGGAATGGGGATCCATGGGGTTAGGATGGGGATCCACGGGGTTGGGATGGGATCTGTGGGGCTGGGTTGTGGATTCACGGGGATCCCAGGGGCTGAGGTGGGAATCCATGGGGCTGGTGTGGGATATCTTGTGATCCATGGGTTTGGGGTGTGGATCCATGAGGATCCAAGGGGCTGGGATGAGGCTCTGTGGGTCTCCCATCAGACTCTGGGGCTCCATAGGGCTGCAATGGGGCTCTGTGGGGCTGGGACACAATTCCATGGCTCTCTGTGGGTCCAATCCCCCCCAGGTCTCCACACAGTGCACTGGGTTGATGGCTGTGACCTCCTGTCTGACGGGAGTGTCCGTGGATCCTATCTGTATGGCTATGACGGGTGGGATTTCGTCTCCTTCGATCCGGGATCCAAGAGCTTCATGGCGGCCGACAGCGCTGCCCAGGTCACCACGAGGCGCTGGAATGCTGACAAGAACTATATAGATTATACAACAGATTACCTGGAGCACACCTGCAGGAAAGAGCTCCAGGAATTTGTCGGATATGGGCAGGAGGAGCTGAAGCGCAAAGGTGGGGGCAGAATCCCTGTGGGAATTGGGGATTTGGGAATGGAGGACTTGGGAACATGGTCATTCCTGTGGGAATTCCATGGGCAGATCTCACCCCAGTCCCATTCCCATGGATTCCATGGGCGGATCTCACCTCAGTCCCATTCCCATGGAATTCCATGGGCAGATCTCACCCCAGTCCCATTCCCATGGATTCCATGGGCAGATCTCACCCCAGACCCATTCCCACAGATTTCCATGGACAGATCTCACCCTGATCCCATTCCCAGGGAATTCCATGGATGTCTCTCACCCCAGTCCCATCCCCACAGATTTCCATGGATGTCTCTCACCATTATCCCATTCCAGAGCCCCCTGATGTCCATGTGTCTGGAAAAGAGGAATACGGGATCCTGACCTTGTCCTGCCACGCGTACGGATTCTACCCCAGGACCATCGCAGTCAGCTGGATGAAGGGGGATGAAATCCGGGATCAGGAGACGCAGTGGGGCGGGATCGTTCCCAACAGCGACGGCACCTTCCACACCTGGGCCA